TCCAAACCAAGGAACCAAATCCCATGGAGTGTTTGTACAAAAGCAGCCTCAGCAGCTACTGTTTCTTCTTCTTGTTGTTGTAAATGTATCTATCACACAACTTTTGTCAATTCAACTTTTTACAGGTGTACATATTATTGACAGCAATTACAGTAATTGCCTGTGCAAACCTATCCTTAATCAATGCGATTTTTCTATCACTATTAACCTCCCTTTCACACTATCACTCCCTTGTTGTTGTTGTTGTTATGTGCCGTCGAGTCAGCCCCGACTCATAGCGACCCCTCCTTGGGTTTCCGAGGCAGTATCGCTACGGAAGTAGGATTGCCCAACCTTCCTTATCACTCCCTTGGTAACCACTAATAAATTCCAGTCTCTATACCTTTTCTTGTCTTTTTATATAGTTTGGCCAAAACCAAACTCACTGCCGTCAAGTCACATCTGACTCATAGCGACCCCTCCTTGGGTTTCAGAGGCAGTATCACTACAGAAGTAGATTGCCCAATCTTCCTTCCAAGAAGTGGCTGGTGGGTTTGAACCGCCAGCCTTCTGGTTAGCAGTCAAATGCCTTAGGCACTACACCACCAGAGCTCCCTCTATATAAGTCAGGTCATATGATTGTCCTTTTGTCAGAGCTTAGAATCAATTTGAAATGGTTCAGTCATGATCCATAGTAACAAAGACAGCATACATGTTATGTAGCAACCAAATGTCTTGCATGACGTATTTTGAGCCAAGTAGGAAACAGGCAGCAGAGCCCTACCAGAGCCCCACTCAAAGCTGGTGGCCAACCATGCCACAACACACATTCAAAGTGTCTTTGAGTAGGGCACCACTGTCTGTTTCTTACTCAGGTTAATCTGACATGCAAGAGATTTGTTGCTATGCAACATGTATGCTATCCTTTTTCCGTAGGCCATGACTGAACTGTTTTGAACTGGTTTGAAGCCCTGCCTTTGCGATTGACTTATTTTACTCAGTGTAATGTCTTCAAGCTCCATACATACTGTAGTGTATATCGAGACTTCCTTTCTCCTACTGCCTGAGTAGTATTCCATTGTATGTATATACCATATTGTTTATCCATTCATCTGCCGATGAGCATTTAGATTCCACCTTGTGACTATTGTGAATAGTGCTGCAATGAACATTGATGTACAAGTCTCTTTTTGTGTCACTGCCTTCAAATCTTTTGAGGAACCACCATATTGTTTTCATCAGTGGCTATACCATTTTACATTCTCACAACACTGGATAAAGTTTCCAGTTCCCCCACATCCTTGCCAACATTTGTTATCTTCTGTGTTTTTTATCTTAGCCGTTCTAGTGGAAGTGAAATGATATTTCACTGTGGTTTTAATTTGCTCTCTGATGGCTGATGATAGTGAGCATCTTTTCATGTTTGGTGACCATTTGAATATCCTCTTTGGTGAAATGTTTATTCAAGTGATTTGCCAGATGCCTCCTTTTATAGCAGTATAGGGCTCAGTCACTTATCTAATTAACTTGTGGAGTTAATGAATGTCTGTGGCAGAAGAAATGGAGATGAAAGGAGGAACCACAAAAAGGAGACAACAGAGACATTCTTTGTGAGGAAAGAGAATCACCAACAACGCCTCAGCGATGAAAGGCAGATAGGGCCCTTAACAAAGGATCATGGAGCTTCTGGAATGTTTGTCATTATAGCATTTTGTTAATATGAATGTCTTAGCAAAAGCATTGTTGTTGTTGTTGTTAGGTGCCATCAAGTCAGCTCCAACTCACGGTGACCCTATATACAACAGAATGAAACACTGCCCATTCATGCTCCATCCTCACAACCCTTGCTATATTTGAGCCCATCGTTGCAGACTCTGTGTCAATCTACCTTTTTTTTTTTTTAATTGTGATTTGGGTAAAAGTTTACAGAGCAAATTCACTTCCCATACAGCAGCTCACATACACTTTGTCTCATGACATTGACTACAATTTACTACAATGCAACAGCTCCCTTCCCATCTCTTCCCCACAGTAACCTCTTCCCTATGTCCTTCCCTCCATGCACTCCTGCCACCTGAACTGTCTCCCTGTGCATACATTGTTATTGTTGTTGTTGTTTGCCATCAAGTTGGACCCAACTCATAGCAGCCCCTCCTTGGGTTTCCGAGGCAGTATCACTACGGAAGTAGATTGCCCAACATAGCCCTTCTATTATCCCATGACTGTTCTCTCCAAGGAGTGTATCTACCTAATGTAAATGTTCACTTCATATGCCTGTCTTTTGTTTGGCTGGAAGCCGCAGGAGTGGGTTCAATTCTAGACCTGAAGGGCCCCTAGGGGACATAGTCCTAGTGGTTCCATTAGGCTCTCTCAGACCAGCAAACCTGATCATTTTTTTTTTTTTTTCCCAATGATTTTGAGTTTTGTTCCACATTATTCTTCCTCTCTGTCCAGGATCTCCGACACAGATCCCCCTCTGAGTGGTTGACAGTGGTAGCCGGGCACCATCTAGTTCTTCTGGTCTCACAGTCGTATAGGCTGATGATCGCGGGGTATATCAGTGACTTGGACTGTTTCTCAATCCACCTTTTTAAGAGTCTTCCCCTTCTTTGCTGACCCTCCACTTTACCAAGCATGACATCCTTCTCCAAGGTATGGTCCCTTCTGACAACATAACCAAAGTAGTGAGATGAAGTCTGGCCATTCTTGCTTCCCAGGAACATTCAGGCTGCACTTCTTCCAGGACACATTTGTTTGTTCTTCTGGCAGTCCATGGAACTTTCAGTATTCTTCACCAACACCACCACTCAAAACATCAACTCTTCTTTGGCATAAGGAAATGGACACTCAGCTTCTCCTTCCTGAATTAATAAGTGAATCATTTTAGAAACAGGAGGAGAAAAGAGCTATCATGGATCCCAGCCAAGCTCTTGCCTTCCTCCAGCCTTTTCTCCTGCCATTTCCCTCACCTGGAAGGTTCTCCCACCTTCCCCCTGCCTATCTAAGCCATGCACAGTCTCTGAGATCTTGTGTCTCCATGACAACTCTAACACCCACCTCTCTTCACCACTCTTGAACTCCTACAGCACATCTGCTACATGCCACACAATTTTCACTAGATTAGGCATATTGTTTTTGGGAGGTTCTTATACATGTGTCTTATAAAACCTCTTGTAAACTCCTCAAGGACAACGGTCATTTCCTCTTCTGCGGCTGCTGCCAGTTTTTCCACAATGCTGACAGCCTAATAGACCCTCTGTACAGCCTTACTGACTGCTGGCTGAAGAGTTCAATTCAACTCTCTTGTTCTTGCCAGCAGTGCAAAGAGTACAATAAAGTCCTTTCACTACTAAATGACAAATTCAAAGATCGAGAGGCTGAGGAAGTACTTGCATAGAGTCATTCATTGTTTAGAACACCTCATGGTATCCAGACCCTAGAATCCTCCAGGTCCATAGAGACGGAAATAACTTCAATATATGTCATGATGTTTGTTGAATTGGTGTTTTGCTTATAACTACCTGCATGAGTTACATGAATCAGGAAAAGGGTAGATTTTCTGCTACACAGTAACTGATAACTTCCAAGGCTGTTTTTCCCCCTCTTGTGTTTCATACGTGCTACGACTTCAAAGGAAAAATATTGCTTTTTATATTTCTAACAATAGCAGTGCCACCTGAAGAGAGAATGTGTTGTTTAAGGGACAAAAAGGTGAAAGATCCACACTGCCATTATTGTCACCACTGACTGTCCTAAAGCTTTTCAGGACATGAACAGCAATCACCACATAGGAAAGGAAAAAATTTGGATTCACGCTACTTTGCATTCTGGGTTTCTTCTTTTCCACGGCAATTGATTTTGGTATCATGTACTTTTATGTCAGAATCCCATCTTACGATACAGATGCTGTTTGCAGCTGTTCCATGATGCCTGCAATCTTTTGAGCATTAAGTCCATTGAGGCTCATGAGCAATGGTAATTGGCCTTGGGAAACTGCATAGATGCTTCCCAGAGATCTCAGCGTTCACACTGCCCACACAGTACAGAGGGGAAAATGATCGGGCTGGCTTGGTTTCCTTTCTGTTGTTGTTAGTAGTCCAATGACATGCTTTCCATTTTGCTGTAGTTATAATGAAGCTACTCTAGAACAAGACTAGACTTGTGTTTTAAACAAAAACATCATCTGAGCTGTTTCTTTCTGAGATACATGGGATTCTCGTTTGGGCTTCAGAAGGCTCTTTGTGTAGCCTGCAAAGGATGCTGGGTCTAACACAAAAGGACAGATATTGTACAATTCCACTAATGTGAAATATCTAGAATAGGCAAATTCACAGAGTCAGAAAATAGATGAAATTTTATCAGGGATTGGAGGGAGAGGGGAATGTGGAGTTACTGCTTAACGGGTACAGAGTTTCTGTTCGGGATAATAAAAAAAAATTGGAAATCCAGAGTGGTGATGGTTGTACAACATTGTAAAATGAAATTAATGTGATTGAATTCTGCAGTTAAGATGGTTAAAATGGCAAATTTGTTTATATATATATATACACATATACATATATATGTATACCAAAAACCAAACTCACTGCCTTTGAGTTAGATCTGACTCATAGCTACCCCTCCTTGGGTTTCTGAGGTGGTATGACTACGGAAGTAGATTGCCCAATCTTCCTTCCAAGGAGTAGCTGGTGGGTTTGAACATACATAAATACATATAAGCAAAAGTAAAAGAAAAAAAAATGCTATGTCTTTTTACTCTAGTAAACTTTAGAATTCCAAATCATATTTAGTATGTGACCTTTCTGGGATAAGGAAAAAAATATATTCTATCACCTAATGTGATTGTAACAAATCAGTTTTCTTTAACCCTCTGTATAAACAGTGCACAAAGGGAATCAGGCCTGATGTTAGAAAGCCTCTTCTTTATAAACACAGTGATCAAAGAAATTATACAATATTAATTAAGGAGACAGAATGCAGCCAGGTCTACTGCTGCCTTCACCTTGGAGCAAGAGAAGAATTCAGCCTAGAGACAGGAACTTTTCTTCCAGGGAGGGAGGACATGACATGGTGGGGGGGGAAAAAAAAAATCTCTCTGAGCATTGGCCCAGCTAGAGAACTGAGCTGCTGGAAGATCCAAATGGCCCCATTGCAAGTCTTTTTTCCCGGATGGTGCGTAGATCCTTGACAAGCGATGGGTGAGCTCTGCCTCTTCTGTTGAGGACCAGGACTGGACTCTGGGACCAGGGATTTGGCACGTGGGGCCTCACAGCCTGCAGAGAAATATTGACACGTGAGAGCATATGCCAAATGTCATGACATGTAAGTGGCAGACCCAAAATGAAAGCCTCCCCAGCCATTATTTGCCAGAACAGCTATGAACTACTGTATTAGATAAGAAAACGGTCTAAGAGTTCAAGACCTGCCTCTCTTCACCCCAGTCAAAAGCCTATTGTAGAGAACAGGAATGAATTGCCCACCCAAGGAAGCTTGGGCATCTGTATGGTGACCTTTGGGGTTAGCTTGTGTTTTCTACATCTTTATTATTATGCAGAAGCAGCAGCAACTACAGGACGTTCTTGTAGCTGTGACTGAAGGGGCTTATTCCTAGAATGTCCTGGGGAGGTGGATTTACTCAGGGTGAACAGCTGCTTGTGACACAGCACTGCCTTCTTTAAACTTTATTAACCAATGTGGTGATGGCCAGGGTCAAGTTTAACCCCAGGTTAACCTCAGGATGAGCCTGAGTAATTCTAATGTCTGTTATCCACCTTACCTGTATTACCATGGAGTATTAAGAAGGATAGCCTCTCTATCCCCCAATGAATCTCCAGTTTGGAGCAAAAGCACATTGTCACTTTTTTTTCTAACAACTTCTTATTATAATTTGGTATGTCACCTCTACCAATGTATATAAGTTTTAAATTAAAAAAAGAGTGAAAAAGGCAATGATTAATTGCAAACAATAACCATCTAATGATGAATTTTGGCAGGGGAGATAAACTGTGGCACTTTCTGGATAGGGTTCAAATTATGCTATGTGGATATAAACATAAGTTCTTTTCAACCTCTTTTCTATAGCAACTTCTATGAAGAACAATTGTTAACATCCATAATCTGAACATCAAGTTCCTTTGATTTTTTTTTAAGGGAATTTATATCAATTCAAAATAACAGAAAAGCTAAACAAGCAATGTTTAAAGATCAGGAAAAATGAGACAAGTTAGTTAGAAAAAATGAAGTTTCTTGTTTAAAAAATACTATATATTTTCATTGCACAAGTGACATATGCTTGTGATGCAGCTCATTACTTAACCTGACTCTTCTGGCAAAGGCCTTTGGGACTCCCACCAGATGACTGAGTGGGAACACACAAATGTAAGGTGCTTGTGGCCCACCAAGGGGATTGGATACTTTGTTAATAATGTATCTAAGGTACATGGCACCCTGGTGGGGTGGTAGCATGCAAAGAAGGTGGATTGATTGGTTTTGTCATCTCACTAGGCTTAAAATGACCCATCCCAGAAGCAGAAAGGGTTTTTTTGTGTGTATGTGTGGAATCTCATCACCACCAAGAAAGACAAACCAGGAGTGAATTGCATCCTGGGACCAGAGGTCCCTGTGTTGGAGCTCCTTGACCCAGGAGACAGAGACAGCAGAGAGATGTAGAGACACAGCAGAGAGATATTAGCAGCAGAAGCAGCAGAACCAAGAGACCAACATGACACAGAGTGATGGGCTTCCCAGCCCAGGGAGCAAGAAAGCTAAGTGCCTTTGGGCAGGAGGCTTGATGGCAGAGTGTGTTGCCTCTCTGGGCACCCATCTTTGGAACTAAAAGAGCTTTGTAACACTTACCCAAGCAGGACAGAGGCTGAGGCCAGAGAGAAGTATGCCTGTGGTATAGCTGAGAAGCTGTCCTGATTAAAGAACTGTATCTGATTTGTTTCTGATCTTAAATTGCAACCTGTTGCTTCCCTAAGAAACCTCATAATTGTGAGCATGGTCTATGAGTTCTGTGTAGCCACTGTAATCAATTATCGAACCCAGCAAAGAAATAGAGAGTGTTGTTGGGAGGGATGGTTGATGTCAGAATTGGTAAAAAGGTTGGAGAATGACAGCATGTCTGATTTCAGCCTCATAGTAATCAGCTTTGGGCTGTTGATGCTGATGGTAATTGTGGTAGTTAAATTTGTATGTCAACTTGGCTGGGCCTGGTTGAGTGGCTGGGCAGCTGGTGGTAGTTATTCCCCATGATGAGACTGGCAATCAACTCCATGGTGGGATCTACCACAAGCAGCTGAGTAGCTGCCTTTGGGATGTGGTCTGTTTCCTGTATATAAGGAGAAGCCTTGGGGATAGTCTCTAGCTTGTGGCATGCTTGGATCCAGCATGTAGCTGTGTCGTTGTTCAGCACTCTGCCAACCTTGGGACTTTAAATGGACTTGAATTAATGACCTGCCATGTGGTTTGGTAACATCAAGACTGTGCCTTGGGCTTGTTTGCCTCAGCAGCCACTAGCTGCATGAATGAAGAGCTGCCTGTAGCTTCAGTGGGCTGGGAGCAAGAGGCAGAGCTGAAGCCCAAGGTGGAGGGGCTTTCACCCAGCCCCTAGAGCCTGGCACCTTGAACTCAGACTTTGAGCCTCCTGAACTGTAAGAGAATAAATGCCTGTTTGTTAAGACCATACCATTTGTGGTACATTTCTGTCAGAGTGGCACTAGGTAACAGAACAGTAATTCTGTCTCCCCGTTGTGACGTTACAAGAGGTCAGACAATACCTTCCCATGCACTTTTTGCAATTTCCATATATAAAAGCCAGAACATACAAATAATCAAAAATAAGAAAATTACTATCACCTGGAATCCCATCATCCAGTAGTAACTACTGTTAAATATTGTAAAGACTCCAAAACTTTTTTCCAGTAGATGTACGGATGCATAATACCCATACATGGATATTCATGCATAGATAGATAAATACACACATACACGTTATTCCATGTCGTTAAATTATATATCTAAAAACCACCATTGGGTTTCCAAGGTGTTAAATCTTTATGGAAGTAGATTGCCCAGTCTTCCTTTCGTGGAGTGGCTGGTGGGTTTAAACTGCCAACCTTCTGGTTAGCAATCAAATGTCTTAGGCACTACACCACCAGAGCTCCTAGACAAATATACACATACACAATATTCCGGGAGCTCTGGTAGCATAGTGCCTAAGGCACTTGACTGCTGACCAGGAGGCTGCAGGTTCAAACCCACCAGCCACTCCCTGGAAGGAAGGTTGGGCAATCTACTTCCGTAGTGATACTGCCTCGGAAACCCAAGGAGGGGTTGCTATGAGTTGGTTCCGACTCGACAGCACATAACAACAACAACATTATTCCATGTCATTAAATTATATATCTAAAAATGGTTATTAACAGCTGCTTTTATAGTGAGAAATACATAGAGCCACAGGAAAAGTGATGACGTGAAAGATAAGTCAGGCTCCAAAAGGTACCTCCCAGTCACAAGGGAGACTGGGGCCAGAGATAGCAACAGGCCTTTTTATTCGAGGAAATCACAATATGTTAAAAAAAAAAAAAAAAAGGTAGAAAGAAAAGAATGAGGTCACAGGAAAGATTGGGAGGAGGATATATTTGTCCTAGATGTGGAAAGAACAAACCTACAGCCTACTTACAACCTACCATGCACAGTGTCCCCCAGCTTTGTGGGCAGAGATGCACAGCTCATCCCCAGTTCACAGCAGTCATGGAGGATGTATTGTCCACTATCTACTAAAAACCACTCTTTGAAAAGGCAATTAAAGCTCCCAGTGACAAATTTCTTCTTCTTCCACATTTCCCCATGGGATCTCATATCAAGGCCTTGGCAGCACACACACAGCCTTTGTGTCAATTAGGAAGAAGGCTCCTCTTCCTGCTGCCCCTAATTCCAGACCCTGCCCCTTTACACCAGGGCCAAGGGCTTCGGAGAACATTGTTGGCTTCAGCCCTGACTATGGTCCTTGACCACGCACCTTTGTGCAGAGGACAACTTAAGTTTGTGTGTAAACTTGGCTGTGATTTTGAGTGGCTTAATAGCTGGATGCAGTTATTCCCCATGATGAGATTGGATGTGGTGTAATCACCTCCATGGCGGAATCTGTTGTGAGCAGTTAAATCAGTTGAACGGGAATTGCCTTCAGGGTCTCTGTGACTTGAAAGAGACTTGATGGCATTGGGTTTATGTTTAGACACTGCCAGATATCCCTTGGGGGACAAAAATAGTCTGACTGAGAAACACTATAATAGACCATGTGAGAAATAGAAACAAAGGGTGCATGTGAGACATGAGTGGGAATAAAATATAAAATCCTTGGCAAGTCTCTAGATGTGACTGGGACTGGGGAAAAGGGAGCATGAAAGTTCAAACAGCACCACAGAAGAAGCCCTAGAGTCCATGTTGTTGTTGTTGCTGTTAAGTGCCATCGAGTCGTTTCCGACTCATAACGACCCCATGCACAGCAGAACGAAACACTGCC